CAAATCTTTTACCACCGAGGTTTCCCTTTCAGGTTTGGACCACACAGGAACTGATGGAAATCGGGGCCACCTGCCACCCAGTGTACTTCCTCCTGGGGGACAAGAATGGGTGTAGACCCATCACTTTGGGGAGGGAGACAACCATCTCAGGGCGTCTTCCCTGGGCCTTGGCATCCTGGTGCCTGCAGGGCCCGAGCAGCTGGCTCCTCCCTAATCAGCATGGCCCTGCCCGTCCAGCACCAGCCGAGCTGTGCCTGGGGCACCACCTGCCTGGCGCAGCCATAGTCCTTGAGGGAAACAACAGCAGCAGCAACAGCAACACTAGCAGTAAGGACTATTGCAGCAGGTGATGCTGATATAGGAGCCCTGCTCTCGGTGTTTTAGAAATATTAAGTCATCCACCCTGGCCAGGGTAGCTCAGTTGCTTGGGCATCAGTCCTTGCACCAAAAGGTTGCTGGCTGGATTCCTGGTCAGGGCACATGCCCGGGTTGTGGTCTGGATCTCCGCTGGGGGACATGCAGGAGGCAGCCGATCAATGTTGTGCTCTCACATCAATGTTTCTCTCTCTCCCTCTCCCTTCCTCTCTCTCTAAAAATCAAAATTTTTTTAAAACATATTTTATTGATTTTTTTACAGAGAGGAAGGGAGAGAGAGATAGAGAGTTAGAAACATCGATGAGAGAGAAACATCGATCAGCTGCCTCCTGCACATCTCCTACTGGGGATGTGCCCGCAACCAAGATACATGCCCTTGACTGGAATCGAACCTGAGACCTTTCAGTCCGTAGGCCAATGCTCTATCCACTGAGCCAAACCGGTTTCGGCAAATTTTCTAAAAAAAGAAGAAATATTAAGTAATTTAAACTTCACCACATCTCAGGCAGGTGGGTACTATTATTGTCCTCATTTTACGAATCTAGAGACTGAGGCCCAGAGAAGTGACGCTCCTTGCCTAAGCACAGAGCCAGGAATGGTGGAACAGGAATGTGAGGCTGGGCTGTTTAGCGCCAAAGCCCAAGCTTTTAGCCACTAAGAATGCACTTTGCTCAGCAGCTGGGACGCTCCCCTGATCTTGCTGCTTAGGCAGAGTAGATAGCTGCCCCCGCCCCTTTTGAAAGTGTTTTACATATGAGTACCCTATTTAAAATTTTTCATTTGTTTTATTGATTTGAGAGAGAGAGAGTGAGAGAGAGAGAAACATCAATGTGAGAGAGACACATTGATGGGTGGCCTCTCGCACATGCCCCAGCCAGAAATTGAACCCTCAACCTTCTGGTGCACAGAATGATGCTCCAGCCAACGGAGCAGCACCGCCAGGCAGAGCAGACAGTTTCACTACAGGGCCCAGTGTTCCCTGTCCACAGCACACACGTGGCTTCTCAGCTCCATCAAGGCATGAGCACACGGGGGAGAGGTGGGCAGACAGAGCCCATCAGCATGAGGCATCGTGAGGTAGGGAATGAACGGGGAATCACACTGGCCTGGTTTTGCTCGGCCCCACCACTTACTAGCTGTGTGGCACTGGGAAAATGACCTCATCAGTCTGAGCCTTAGTCCATGACTCACCTCGCAGGGAGGGTGCAGTGAGGCGAAGCATGCAGGGCCTGCACACACAGGGGCTCAGTAAGAAGTGGTGGCAGGAATCTCAGGATCCAGGGTGCTTCCTGAGACAGGCCGGGACGTGCCCCAGAGGGCCCACCTGACTTGGTAGCTCTGTCTTAAGGTCACAGCAGCGTCTCGCATTTTTCCGCATTTTTCCGAGGCAGCTTCCTGCGGAGGGGCATCTCCATGGCAACACACCAGCAGCACCTGTTGGAAGAATCGGGTGCTGGAGAAACATGACCTCCTTGCCTCATTCTGCAGCCTCTGCTGAGGGTGGAGGGGACATGGTTGGCTCAGGTTGGAAACTTGATCCTGGTGGGCCGCCCTGCTGACAGGAGGGGGCCGGCCAATGGCTGGAGGTCTTTTTCTCAGCCCGAGTGGGGATAATGCTCCCTAAGCAGCGGCCTCCAGACCTGGGAGTCTGATGAGCCTCGAAGGTTGCCTTCCCAAGGGCTTTTCCCTGAGAGGAGGCACTGAGCCCCAGGGTTCGAGAGCAAGGCTGATGGGGGGAGGCTGAGTTTGCTCTGCTGTCGCACATTGTCCTCTCCTGCCTGCCTGGCACAGGTCTTCCCTTACCTACGGGTGGAGTGAGGTGTAGGAAGTGAGGAGGGGCTGGAACCAGCTATGGTGGGCTAAGGAACTTCTCCTGCCGTCTGCCCAGTGGGTCCCGGTGCAGAGGGTCCAAGGAGAGGCCTGTGAACAAGGGCCCACCAGCCCATCCCGCCCACTGGTGGGAGTCTGTCTTGTCCTCAGTTTCCTGAGTTCCACATTCGGTCCTGCCTTGTTCAGACAAGTCTAAGCGTTTGTCTCTGCCTCAGTTTTGCCGTCTTTAAAATGAATAATTATTGTAGTCAAGTGCTTTATAAACCATGGCTGCCATGGAAAGGAATGAATGATTGTAAAACTCACCAGCTTTTTCATGACTTTTGACTGAGTAATTCCGTTTACAGCAGTGGTTCTCAACCTGTGGGTCGTGACCCCTTTGGCGGTCGAACGACCCTTTCACAGGGGTCGCCTAAGACCATCCTTCATATCAGATATTTACATTATGATTCATAACAGTAGCAACATTACAGTTATGAAGTAGCAACGAAAATAATTTTATGGTTGGGGGTCACCACAACATGAGGAACTATATTAAAGGGTCGTGGCATTAGGAAGGTTGAGAACCACTGACGTATTGTGTCCTGGACAGCTTTCCCCGTTGATACGAACTGATCGGCACCATTTGAAATGGCTGCATAGAGTTTGGTTTCATGGCTGTGCTGAAAGCCAGCTAAGCATCGCTCTGTCGATGTCCATTTAAGCTCAACGTTTTGCTCTTAGAATCAATGCTGACATCTTTATAATCAAAGCGTTCAAACAACCAAAAATTCCTTGTGGTTTTGGGTTTGGGGATGAGAGTTTCAGTAAGATGGCCCAGGCGTGTTGCGGAAGGAGAGATTGGGGTGCAGCACAAGTGAGGCTCGGGGCTGGCTGTTTCAGGGAAGAATATCTAGTTCAGTTAAAAAAAAGACCTTTACATTGAAAAGAGCCCGTCTCACAGGGAGAGGCACGCTCTCGGCGTTTAGGGCGGGAAGTGGCTCCGGCTGGGGCTCCCACCACCGGCCTCGTTACCTTGGAGAGGCCGCCAGCCCCTCTGAGAGACCCTGTTAGAAAGGAGACGGGGAGCAGGGAGTGAGTTTTTCCAGCTGCTCCCCAAGATCAAGAGCCAGGCGCAGGGCAAGGGCAGAGAGAGTAATGAGCAGAATGAATTATTGGCTTGTCAGCTCAGGAGGCAGCCTGGCCTGGTAGAAGCCTGGGCTCTGGGATCAGATGGCCCAGCTCAGGCCCCTGCTCTGTCATGTACCAGCTGGTGACTTGGGGGCGGCACCTCGTTTCTTGGAGCCACTTTTCCCTCCTCTGCAAGATGGACATGATAACTCCTTCCAGCCTGGCGTGAGGAGTGTGTGGAAACTAATTACATGCTGTTCTTAGTGGGTAAGATTCTAGATCATCTAGTCCAAACACACTTCCGAACGCTTTCAGGAAAGAGAACTTGCTGTTCTTCACGGCAGCTCGGGCTCGGGTTGGCCACAGTTGGTAAGTGACGAGACTGAGCTGCAGGGGAACATGGGGTGGTGACAGGTTGTTGCCAAGCCCCTGATGACTGTGACAGAGGTGAGAAAGGAGGGAACGCGGTGGCTGTGAACTTGGAGCTCTACAGACTGGTTAGATGCGGAGGTGACAGCTAGGTTTGACGCGAGGCCCGAGGGAGATTCTGCTGGTGTGTGGCTCAGCGGAAGAACTTTCTGGGGAGCGGAGCGCCTGACTCCTGCAGGGCCTGTCATTCTGAGGTGTGCTGGGGGGCTTCCCTCGGAGGCTGGCTGGGAAGGTGGGACCAGACAGCCTCTGAGCTGGGCTCTAGGTCTAAGGTGCCCAGGACGTGACTGGGGAGGGCCAGGGAGGAACACAGGGGCCAGAGGCCGGGGTGGTGTGAGGGAAGGAGCCACCACTTTTGCAGGTCCGGCCCTAGGATCAGAGAGTGGGATCCCCCCCTTCTTCAGCCCTGCCCTCCAGGCCTCCCGCTTCCTCCCACCCTCTTCTTGCTACAGGGCAGGCTCCTGCTCAGAGACCTCACTGGCTCCCTGTCTCTCTTCTGCTTTCTCCGACCCTCTGTGGTCTGGACCCACGTTCCCCCAACTCTGCTTCCCTCGGCTCCGACTCTCAGCCTGTCCCTTCCCCCACCCCATGGATCTGCTGGGTGTTCTCCCTCTTTGGATGTCCGCTCTGACCCTCCTGCCCTGCAGATCTGCCTTGTCCTGTCCGTCTCAGCGTGAGTCCCACTTCCTCAGTTTCCATTGAATGGCACGGCCCACTCTACTCTCTCCTGTTCAGAAGACGGACAGCTCACAGGAGCCAGTGCCACCAGATGACAAAAACCGTGTCCCCAAGGGGGTCCTTTTAAACCACAGGCCGTACTCTTTACCTACTTATGCCTCGTGTAAACCCTATGAGAGACAGTTATTATCCCCATTTCATAGACAGGAAACTGGCGTTCAGTAAAGATTCCACCTAAATTGCTTCTAATTGGCTACTTTTCCAACTCTTTCGTGTGTTAATGTCTCATCTCTTCAACTAGACCGAGTTCATTCAGGGGCAAAGCTCCGTGTTGGGTTTAGCAGAACTCCCAGCGGGGAGCCTTGTGCGTTCCTGCTGGTTGGACATCTGCTGCCAACAGCCCCCAGCTTGTTGGGCCTCCACATAGACTCGAGGGTCCCAGGCTTGGCTGGGGAGCACCCACCCTACGGGTCAGATGTCAGGCTTGAGCCAGGGAGCGAAGGAGCCTGGAGCTGAGCCCCGGCCTGGGGACCCACCCTGCACAGCTCACCATTTCCTTCTCTCCTCTCCTCCACCAGGGAACTCAATGGCAACAACATCACCCGGATCCATAAGAACGACTTTGCAGGGCTCAAGCAGCTGCGGGTGCTGTGAGTATGGGATCTGCTCCTGCCTGTCACCTTCCCCTGCCCCCTCCCTCGGCAATGGCCTGTGTGTCCCAGGCAGAGCCCTGGCTGTGGGTAGTAGGGTTGTAGGGTTGTAGGGTTGTAGGCAGGCTGGGCTCCTCCACATGGAGTCTGTCTTGGGACACCCTGAGGGTGGTGGGGTGGAAGTGATGGTGAGTCCTGACCCGGAGCAGCCCCTGCCTCCAGCATGGCTGAAAAATTGGGTGATGGCATAGGCACCGGTGGTGGCTGCCTGGCGGGACCTGGGCTGGGCAGATGGGGCTGTCTTGTCCACCGGTTGTCTCCTCGGGTGAGGGAAGACTGAGGGACCGTGCGGAATCTTTAGGTCTCTGTCTTTGTTCAGGCTGCTCTAACAACATGCTACAGACGGGGTGGAATAAACAATAGAAATTTATTTTCTCACAGGTCTGGAGGCAAGGAATCTAAGATCAAGGTGCCGTCAGGGCTGGTTTGTGGTGGGGCCTCTCTTCCCGGCCAGCCGCTCGCTGTGTCCTCAGGTGGCCTGTCCTCTGTGTGTGCACAGAGAGAGCTCTGGTGTCTCTTCTTATAAGGACACCAGTCCTAGCAGATGAGGGTCCCATCCTTATAACCTCATTTAACCTCAGTGACCTCCCTAAGGGCCCTCTCTCCAATATAGTTACGTCGGGGTTAGGGCTTCAATGCATTAATATCTGGGAAGAGGGGCGAAGAGCGGGGACAATTCAGTCTGTAACAGTCTCCATAGTTCCCTTGAACCTGTGGCCCAGAAAACTCCCCAGCAAGGGGCTGCCCTGGCTTGAGAGGGCAGATGATCGGGGGCACTTGAAGGTAGAGTCGATTTCCCTGGGTTGCTTGACAGCGGCAGGTATTGGAGGCAGTGGGCACGACGCCATTGGGAAAGGAGCCATCAGCAGCACCTCCTCTGTCATGCTGGGCAGGGGTGAGGGGCCAGGAGGGTGCTGATCCCTTCCTCTCTCCTTCTCTGCTGATCTCGATGCGGAGGCAGCCTGCCAGGCATACATCCTGATGCAGTGAACATCAGACAGTCATAGAACCCCTCGTCCCTTATTCCCAGGGAAGTGCAAGGGCCCTGGGGCCTCAGTTCTGTCAGAACTACTTGCTTTGCATTCATTTCTCAGGGTCTTTGGAGGAACTGGGGATCTTGTGGCTGATCCTCTCTGGGGTCATAGCTATCGCCCACTGATCTCTGACCCCATCCCAGGCTCCAGAAATCTCTTTTGAGCCTGAGGAAGCTCCCCTTCCTCCTGGTTTATCCCCCTCTTCCCCACCCAGGTCTACACTGGGAGCTCCTCAGTAGCATAGGCCTCTGGAAACAAGAGGAGAAAAAGAAGTGGGTGGTGGCTGTTTCTGCCCTCTGCTCTGTCTCAAACCTCACCTGTGGTGCATGTGGGAGCACATAGGCCACCCGCTGGAGAGTGGAGAAGGGAACGTGGAGAAGGGAACGTGTAGAGAGAAAAACACGTTTGACAACCTCAAAAATTACCATGCAACAGGCGATCTGTTGGCAAAAACTGCTGTCCGCCAGCTGGACGCTCTGGGCTGCATGGCGCATTGGCAATGAGGAGGTGCAGAGCCCCATGGAGCCAGGTGGCTCAGCTGGCAGCAGATGGGCCAGGCAGAGTCGGGGTGCAGGCGGAGGGGGTGTCGTCTGCCAACTGCAGAATGTGCTGCATGTGTGGGCTTTGCCCAGTTGGCACCAGATCCCCTCCCCCTGCTACTGGCCCATTCTGGCCATTCTGCCCCTTGGAAAATCACCCTCGGGGCCAAAGGGGGGCACTTGCACCTGCAACCCAGAGCAGCCCCTGCTGCCTGCTGCCTGGGTCCGGCTTCCCGAGCATGCCTTGGAGCAGTGACCTGGTGCTCTGGTGTCCTGTGGCCTTCTGCCATGCAGGGATCAGCATGGGGCTGGGCTGGAAGCGCATCTTGCGGTGCCATTCTTCCCCTTGGAAAATCACCCTCGGGGCCAAAGCGGGGCACTTGCACCTGCAGCCCAGAGCAGCCCCTGCTGCCTGCTGCCTGGGTCCGGCTTCCCGAGCATGCCTTGGAGCAGTGACCTGGTGCTCTGGTGTCCTGTGGCCTTCTGCCATGCAGGGATCAGCATGGGGCTGGGCTGGAAGCGCATCTTGCGGTTGAGGCTGGGTGTGCTGAGGAGTCCCTGCTGGGAATTGGCAACGTTGTGAGGAAATTTTGTGGGCTCAGGCCGGACTCAGGTCGGCACGCGTCTCAGGCACAGCTCCTGTCTCACTCCCTTGTGCCAGCTGTTTCCAGGAGTCCTTGTCCAACATGCTGTAGCTGTCTTTGTCTCTTCGCTTCCTCAGGCAGCTGATGGAGAACCAGATTGGAGTGGTGGAACGGGGGGCTTTGGACGACATGAAGGAGCTGGAGCGGCTGTAAGTGTCTGTGGGTGTGGGCTCAGGAGGGCGGTGGAGGCAGGCTCTGAAGGGACACGAGCAGACAGCCTGGTGGCCAAGGGGGTGTGTGCTCAGGGGCAGGACGGCACGCCCAGCCTGCCTCCCGCCTGCTGATAGGAGCCAGGGGCAGCTGCAGCGTGGACTTGGTCACAGCATCATCATGAGCTCACAGCAGAGAGAAAGCTGGAGACTGTCCTCATCCCACATTCTAGATGCAGCTATTCTCCCCTGCCCTGGCCCCCGAAAATGCATTATGCCAACAAATCCACACATTACAGAGGAAGTGAGATTTCTTCCTATAATCTCATACCCAGGTGTAAACACTGTTCACCGATGCGTGTGGCCTCAGGGAAGCGTTGGTGTGTGGAGGGGACCATCAGGGAAGCCCTGGGGGCATTGAGGAGCCATGTTTTGGGTGTCAGGGCCACAGCGCAGACACTGGAAGGTGGAGGCATTTCGGACTTGCATGGTTTGTTCCTTACAGGGCTTTCAAGTTTGCAAATGTGTCTTGCAGAGAGCATCCGGAAGCTGCTTCTGGACACGCAGTTCCCCTGTGTCTTGATCAATTTTTGCATTTCAGATGGGCAGTAATGAGGAAAAAAAGGCACGTGGATGGGTGAGGTGGTGGGGGGATTGGCACTCACATTCAGGGTAGTCACCAACCTAATTTTTCTTTTATCTTTTAAATTTTATTAATTGATTTGAGAGAGAGAGAGAGAGAGAGACACACACACACACACACACACACACATTGATTTGTTGTTGCACACATTTATGCATTCAGTGGTTGACACTTGTATGTGTCCTGACCAGGGATTGAACCCACAACCTTGGTGCGTCTGGATGATGCTCTAATTAACTGGGTTACCCTGCCAGGCCCGATCTCATGTTTTGGCAAAGTGGTTTGTATGTAGGTGTCAAGAACTCTATTGTTCATGCCTTTTGAGCCAGAAATAGAGACATGGCTAAAAACATGTATATATCAGGATGTTCATTGTACATTATTGAAATACAATAAAAAATTGACAACAGCCATTCTGGTGGAAACATAGCCGTAAAATCACACTTGGGGAGAGCAATCATGGTCATGGGAATGTACACACAATATAATGTTAAGGGGAAAAGGCAGGAAGTGACATTTGTGTAAATAAAAATTAACTTGTACGTGTACAGAATGCAGGAGGAGGAAAAGAATTGATAATATTAACTCTTACTGCATTGAGTGGTGGGTTAACAGGTAACTTTAATTTTATTCTTTGTGCTTTTATATTTTTATGGATTTCCCAATGATTTTATAATAATAGCTACTATTGATTGCCTTCCTCTCTGCCAGGCACCAAGATAAGCTCTTTGCCCCTCGCCCCCCATATCTCCTTAAATCCTTGAAACAACACTGGGTCAGTGGGATCTTTCAGATGAGAAATAGAGGTGCACAGAAGTTAAGCACTGCCTCATGAAGTGATTATTAAGTGATTACATGCAGGAGAGGGGATTAGAACTGGGACCATGTAGCCTCCAAAGCCTGAGCTCTTAATGGCTATGTCCTAATACCTCCCTTTTCTCTTTTATAGAAAAGAAAATAAGGTATTAAATGAAAGGGAAAGGGTGGGTTGTCTCAGTGCCTTCCTGCAGGTCAAGGCGACCTTTCCTTGGCCTTCCTCAGCCAGCCCTCGCCTGGGTGACAAGGAGCCCCCAGCTGAACAGATAAAGGGCTCAGAAATAAACATACCCCACTTGTGACCTGGTTATGAGGGGCTGATTCGGACCTAACCCATTCCAGCTTCAGCTCGGGCACTGCCAGGCCCCAGAGGAGGAGAGAGGGTGGGTTGGGGTTCAGACATGGCCTCATGGCCCTCGTTACGCCTGCTTCTGCCATCCAAGGCAGGGCCCTACTTTTCGAGTCACGACATCACTGCAGACTTTGTCCCTCCTGTCCTTTTCCAAGTTCCTCTCTTTGTGGCTGCTCTGTCCCTGGGGGTCCAGTGCTTGCTGTGGACGGCCGGCACCCTCTTGGACTTGTCGGGGACCCGTGGTGAATCAGTTAATCATCAATGTTGGATGAAGTGGGGAGTCATGAACACCACACATACTGTAAACATCTCATTTTAAGTTATAACATATAAATGAGCACTTATTGACCTCTCCTCCTACCCGCCCCCCCCTTTTTTTTGTTTTTGCCAAGACCTTTCTTTTTGTTATGAGATGCTGATCGGAGTTCACCTAAACCACACATGTGCACCTTACTTAGGAGTTTTGGTTTTGGTTTCTCTAGGGTGAGTGAGATTTCTGAAGGGTCCTTGGGAGCAAGCGGCGTGGAGGATCCTGAATTTCTTGAATGATCCTCTTGCCCTGCAGTCTTTTCCGTAATTCATCAGCCCTTTAATTAGCAGCTTCCCTTTTAGTGACTCTTTCAAAGCATTCAGCCTAGTTTTCGTAGAGATGACTCTCTCTTTTCGCACTGGTATTTGGTTTGTTTATGTAACAGTTCATTCAATTATACAATTATAATTATAAGTACCTCTGGCTAAACAGGTTTGGGAACAGACGTAACTGGTCTTGTGAGCAGTTACAGACTTGAGTGCAGAAGCAGCCGCGTGCGGTTCTGCGGCCATGAGGATCGGGGTGCCGCGGGTGTCAGGGTCTGATGTTGGGAGGGGGTGCAGCGCTCAGGCACCCTCAGCTGGCTGAGTGGGGGTCGTCGATGTGTCTGTCGTGTGGAGGCAGCCAGGATGGGGAGCTGGCGAAAGGCAGACTTCAGAACCTCACCTCCGGGGAGTTTGGAGGTGAGGGGGGGTCACTCACCGCTGGACATCCTAATTCCTCTGATGCCAGAGAGGCCAGCAGCGGAGTCAACAAACATGTCCCGAGCATTTGTTAGGACCAAGCCATGTGGCCCGATGGTGATGGTGACGCCTTCCCCGTGGGGTTGTTGCAAGGAGGAGACCGGAAGACGTGTGTGTGTGTGTGTGTGTGTGTTCCTCCGACGGGAGGTAACGCCTATAAAACATCTGTTCTGGTGCCTGGCACACGGTGAGGGCTGCTATGGACTGGTAGCCACTGCTGCCAGGGTATTATTCTTCGCTCCCTGCAGGCCCCGCACCTCGCTGGGACCCGCCCTCGATGTCCTTTGATTTTCCACTTTAACTAGTTATTAGATCCCTTTTCCTTTTAAGTGTTTTTCAGAAATTGAAGCTGGAAAACTGAGAACATCTCGGGGGGGGAAACAAAACAAAACAAAAACCAGTGATTACCAGGCAGTGTAAACACAGGATTAATTTATTGGAGAAGGTTAAGGAACTTGGAGCCATCTGAGGTCTCCTGTTGCTTTAAGGATGCTCTTGGTGGTCCCTTTTTTCTGCAGCAGTGATGCGTTTTCCTAGGAGCTGGTCCTTTAGGTAACGCTTCTTCCAGCTGGTCTCACTGCCTGTGCTGTGCTGGGAAATGGTATCTCTCTCACGTAGCAGATAGAGGGTGACTCCTAGGAGGTAAAGTGCCAGCCACATAGAATTACATTCCTTCCTCCCTCCCAACAAAAGGGAGCTTTTGCTGAGCTGGTTGATCATTGTCTAGATCTGTCAAAGGAGAGGTTGTGTGAAACTCAGACTGTGCCATAGACGGAGGGCAGGGGCTGCATTTTACCGCAGTGCTGCTCCAACCTCGCCGAGCACACAGGCCACCTGGGGATCCTGTTGAAATGCAGACTGGCTCTACAGGCCTGGGGGAGAGCCTGAGATGGTGGGGCTCTTAGCAACTCTTAGGTGACGCCCCATCAGGTGGTCCAGGGGCCACAGTATCAAGGCTCCATAGTTTACAGGTGTCACATCCCCTGATGGGCTGGAGGCCAACACCCCAGTGTCAGAGAATTAGTTGCCTGCTAGTCATGGGGATGTAAGGTACAGCATAGGGAGTATAGTCAGGAGCATTGTAATAACTATGAGCGGTGGGTACAGACTTAGTGGAGTGATCACTTTGTAAGTTACATATATGTCTACTCACTGTGTTGTACATCTGAAACTAACATAATAGTGTATGTCAACAGCACTTTAGAAAATGAGGGGGAAAAAAGAGTGTGTTGTCTAAGGTGACGAGATAAGTCTGGGTAAACTTTGCTGCTTCCTTGGGACGAGTCCAGGTTCTTTCTGCACGTCTTCTCGTCAGGCTGCATTCCAGACCCAGACGGCCCACTCCCGCCTGTTTTATTACACCGAGAAGTTGTCCGTCCACCACTAGAGGAACCAGGAATGGTGAACATAAGCAATCGGTCACTACAAATGAAGGGGTCCTTCTCTGTTGTTTGCCATGAAAGGACACCCACAAATTGTTGAGTCAGAAACGTGCAAGTGGCCAAATATGTTTTCTTCTACTATTTGAAGCCTTAAAAAAAATTTAGCATGCATTTCCATAAATAATTTAAAAAAATCAATAAAGCTATTTTTTGTTTTGAAAGAAGGCCTAAAAGCAAACAATAAAAGTTGAGTTGCCACTGAGCCAAATGTGCATAAGAACAATAAAGAGCCAGAAACATGTGTCCAGGGAGCATTTGATATCTTGCTCCCCAGTGTATGTCATCAGTTTGGCTCAAATAAACTCATAAAAATTCTTAAAACCAAAATAAAACACGTGACCAGTCCCGCCCCATTGGGATATACCTCATATTTCATGGGTACTCAGATAGCCAACTCACACACTGAGAGAGATCGATCAGGGCCTTTTAGATCACAAAGGGTCCTGCAGCTGTAAGAGCAGATGCTGATGGGCACGGGAGGAAGTAATGGCAGGAAAGGTGCTCTGCTTATTGCCCGCCCACTCTCTCCATGGCAGGTCCCGGAGGGGAGGGGGGGCTTTCACAGATATTCTGCTGGTATCCTCCCCAAGTGTTGGATGGCAGAACTCCCACTTTATAGATGAGGAAACTGAGGCCCAAAGAAGGTGATTTCCCTGGGATTGTACAGCAACCATGTTAGGATTTGAACCCTGGGTTCTCTGACTCCGAATCCAGTGCTTTCTGAAAAGCCCTGTGGACTTCCTGGATTCCCCGGCAATCCCCAACTCCTCCTCTCTTCTCTTTTGCAGACGCCTGAACCGGAACCAGCTGCACATGTTACCAGAACTGCTGTTCCAGCATAACCAGGCTCTGTCCAGGCTGTGAGTGATGCTCCGAGGCCAGAAAGCTCCCTCTGGGCTCTTATCCCTCACCCTGTGGGAGGGAGAGGGTTTGGTCCGTGGGGTCGGGGCTTTCTCGTGACCCCTATGTTCCTCACGGGGAGGAACTGCTCAGGGTCTCAAAGGTCAGGCCTTTGCTGTTGGAAGGTGCTGTGTGGGCCATTTCTCCATGGCAGGCACCTGACCGAATCTGACGGTCACCGCGTTCCATGTGCTGCCTCTGCCGGTGCGGGGCTCTGGGGGTGGGCCCGGCGTTGCAGGGTGGACATTCATACCCATCCCTCACTGCCTTTGGTAACCTGCCGTGGGTCAAATATTCATTCTTTCAGCGAAGTCCTTCTTGGGCACATTTCTAATTTCAGCTCCGAGTAATAGGGTCTGTTAACTTAGACCTTGTTAATGTGTGTAATGTCACACTTTTATTTGTTGTACATGTACTTCTTTCAAGTTTTAAGGGTCGTGGCTAATTCTGCTGCTTTATGATTTGCCAAGCGTGTCTGTGATTGTTCTACTGTACATTCCATTCCGTGGGATCTTGGGTTAAACAGGACCTTCCTATCTAAGAAATCTCTTTTAGCTCCTTAGCACAGTTGTCTTTGCTTGCCTGCCTCTAGTGATGGGGAGTGCACCGCCTCCCGGGGCAATCAGTTCCATTCTTGAAAAGTCTGCATGTTAGAAACACGTTTTAAATTTTGAGCCCTGAATTTGCTTTCTGATAATTTATGGCTCCCCCTCACCCCCCACCCCAGCTTTGCTTTCTGTAAGTACCTAGAACAATCATAAACTCTTGTTAGATTTTTGAAGGGTCATCATTGGGTTTTTGAATTTTGAGTTGGGAGGTTTTTGAGCACCCTTAGTTGTTGTCATTAAAAACCTGAAACACCATTGCACCGCGTGAGATGCTGGGCAGCTGGTCCCTCCTGACGCTTGCCGGGCAGCACCTAGCGGAGGAAGAAGCAGTAGTGATGCAGGTGAGACTGACGGGTAGGGGCTCGGTGGGAGGTGGCACCAGCATGCTGAGGGGCCAGTTCTTCCCACCTCTGTATGATCTCCAGGCCTCTTGATGAGCCCAGTGGCCTCCAGAATGTGTCACCCGATTCTGCCTTCAAGGCTTGTCTGTCAGATGGAACTCTAATTTTTAGTCTGGTCACTTTCTGTTTCTTTGTCCTCCTGGCCGGGAGGCCTCTCACAGTGACCCTCAGCGATGGCCCTCGTGACTGTCTTTGTCACCCTTGGGCGAGAGCTGGGCTGTCAGTGACGTGGTGCCAGGCACACACAGGGCATGCACGCTTCTTTTCTTTACTAACTGCTGAAGGCACAGAACCTTTCCTGGCAGATGCATCCCCAACACCTCTGTCACGTGCGGTCCATGGGCTGGCGCACAAGGTCCATGCTGTTGCTGCTCACGGGCCTGCGGCTGGCCTGGGCCCCAGCAGCGCCAGTGCCTCCGTCCCTTCTCCAAGCTGCTGCTGCAGCGTTTTCACAGCTCTTCTCTCTGCACGATTCGTCCTGAAGGTCTCTTCTCTTGGTCTCCTTCTGCACTTGCCCTCCTCCTAAGCCTCTCAGCCTTTCCAGCTGCTGCCCTTGCTCTCTGGGCAGATGTGGCCACGTGGGCTCCTTTCCCTCAGCCACCGCCCAGGGTCAGAGCCTGTGTGGAGTGGAACGTTGCCAAACTCTGGGCCCCTGCTTTGATAGTCTTCATTTATTTTATTTAAAATTTGTGTATTTAAAAATTGTAGCTTTATTGAGGTATCGTTGGCAAATAAAATTGTAAGCCATTTGAAGCCTACTTCGTGGTGATTTGATATACTAGAATGTATACATTGTGAAAGACTCCCCCATCGAGTTAATTAGCACATCCATCACCTCACATGTTTATCTTCTTTTTGTGTGTGAAAACATTTACGCTCTCCGTTAGCAGACTTCAGTTATACAATACAGTGTTCTCCCTTTTATACATCAGAGCCTCAGACCTTACTCATCTCATAGCTGAAAGTTTGTATCCTTTGACCAACCTCTCTCCCTTTTCCCCCACCCCCGAGCCCTTAAGATTCCATATGTAAGTGATACCACCCAGTATTTGTCTTTCTCTGTTTGGCTTATTTTACTTAGCCTAATGCCCTCAAGCTTCATCCACGTTGTCACAAATGGCAAGATGAATAATATTCCATTGCACAGTATATATATATGTTTGACATGCTTGATATACATATATATTTATATATATTTCACGTATCTATCTATCTATCTACTTTGTTTATCTTTGCGCCACCCCTCCACCCCCATTTTATTGACTTGAACATCAGGCATTTCAGAACATCTCTGTTCCCTCTTCCAGTGGCCTGGCTGAGGAGCACTCAGACACCCTTGGTTCCAGAAACAGACAGTAAGGGTGGGGTATTAGTGTAAGGGCGCAATCAGCAGACTCACTGGCTCCTTAGGACAGAAAGCGAGGTATAGCTGGGACTGGGCGTGAGTGTGAGAGATAGTTCCAGTCCTTTCTTAATGTCTACCTTATTCTACTCATACCTGCAGACCAGTGTCCTGGGCTGACGGGCAGCATTTCAGCTCCACCTGCCTTTGGTTGGCTACAGTGCTGACTCCCCTCCTGCATTCTGTGACCTTGGAGCTCAGACCCTCCAATGTCTCAGGTCCAACCGCAGGTTTCTGGGGGAAAGAATCCGCTTGGCTCACCTTAGGTCAAGAGATGGCGCCGGGGCCAATGAGCTGTGTAGGGGCTTGTGGGGTCACCTGCAGTCATATTATAGAGCCCGCCCTTCCCTTAGGAGGCAGGGAAAGGGGGAAGGCAGTGCCTCCTTTCTGGTCTGTCACCTGTTGACCTTCCCTCTGCTCTGAGAGATCCATTACTAATCCTTTCCATCTGGAGCAAATCATTGGCTTTCCTGCAGAGGCCGTTATGCTAAATCAGCATGAAACCGAGTCTGAGAGACCAAATGTTCAGGGTAAGGTGTGGTCACAGAGTCTGTCAGGTGGTGGGGTCCACATTTCGGTTGCTTTTGTCTGTGAGGCTTCCAGGAGTTAAAATCCTGTAACTGGTTATTGCCCCTGGTGTTGGGTTAGTCTGTCTATTTTTTTCCTTATGCAGAACCTGTGGCCCAGAGAGGTGATTTGTGTTGGACCCCAGAGCAGTTTGATGATAGGGATTCAAGATCGGGCCTTCAAAGGTCCTTAGAAAGCCTGAAAATGGACTTAACTCGTGCCCTAGAAATCTCACGTTTGGGAATCTATCGTGAGAAATGATAAAACATGGGCACAAACATGTTCCTTGCAGCATTATGTAGAATATTGAGATGTAGACTGTTTCTATATTGAAATATCAAATATGGTAAAGAATATAGAACAATTTGAATGTCTAACTTTGGGGGAATGGTTAAGTGAATTATGCTGTATCTACTTGATGGAATCTTTATAGCATCATCAAAAATGGCCTTAATGAAAGTAATGCAGATAAGTGTTTGTGATATCAAAAGCCAGGATGCAAAATTGTATTAACAATATGACCACGAAATAAATCACTCTAAAGAATGCACATAAAAATGATTGTAAATACCCACAGGGTTGTCGCTGGGTGACTTTTTCTTTTCTGTGCTTCCCAGATGTTCTATAAGCAGCATGCATTATTTTTATGGCAGGAGACCTCCCAGTTTTTATAAGCAACGAGAAGCCTCTGTAGCTTGAGTTCAAGTGAATGCCAGATGCGTAGTGTTGGAACGCTTCCCTGAACCCCACTGAGCCCCATTTGCTCTTTTATCAGATAAAGATAACATCTACCTCTCAGGCTCTTGTGGGGTTCAAGAGAGGTATAACCTGCTTTCATGTCGGGTGTGAACACAGTAGATGCTCAGAAATGTGCGATGAATCCATATGGGAACTGCTTCAGAGGGTGGCAAACCAGACTGGAAGAGGCGCCCAAGGTGATCCCACACCCTCCCTCTGGGCAGGTGTCAGGTCCTGCCTCCACTTCCTGTGTGATTCAGCCTCACTTCTCTTAATTGGAGCCATCCTCTTGCTTTGCAGGAACCTCCTCCAACAGGCTTTTTTAAAATGAGAGGCTTAGGTTTACCTGTGGAGGCACCTGCTGGCTGGTGTGCGGGCAGCAGCTGGAGCGTGGCTTGGGACAGCCATTGCACAGGCTCAGGAAGTTGACAGAGGGAATCTGCCAAGCTCAGAGGGTTCGACATGCCCAAGGGGCTGAGGCAAATGTAAACTCTGGTCTGTCTGACGCTAAAGCTCGTCCTCCCATAGTATCCATCCACCCCCTACTCACCAGCCATCCACCCCCTGCACCCACTACCTGCTCACCTACCTATCCACCTATCTACCGTCTACCCACCCCCAGCCCGACTCCCGCTCACCTGTACTCCCACTTACCCATCTACCAGCCACCAGTCAATCCACCTATCCCTGTCCTCCCTGCTCTCCCACCCTCCTCCCATCTAACAATGCCCACTTTTTCATCTGCCTACCTACCCACTCTTCCTCTCATTTACTCAGCAACTGCCCATTTACCCTTCCAGCCCCACACCCATCCGCCCTCTCCTTTCCCACTGACCAACCCACATATAAACCTGCCCACATACCCAACTCACCCCACTCCACGCCTTTCCTCCTCCCTCTCCCCTATCCACCTTCTGTTCATCTACCCACCACTTGCTCACCCATTCATCCAATAGTTCCTGGGGGCGTCCTATGGATCAGGTATTATTCTAGGTGCTGAATATACTACTGGGGTGACGGCTTGTGAGAGAGACTGGTGGGGCACTGCCTCTCCCCAGGTGAGGGTTTGAGAGCTACCTGCCATCCTCTGACTACCAGCAGGTTGGAGTGGGCTGAGGGGCAGATGTTTCCCTGGCTGGACCCGGCTCCCCTGCGGGGGTGGTTATACCCTGGTGGTCCATTACCTGGCTGTGGGGTCAGTTGCATCACCTGAAAATGTGGACATGTTGTTTCGTGGATGCCCA